GGAGAGGAGCTATGCTGCTTGAACGTTTCTATGGGGAAAAAGTGGGAAAATTGTTCAAAGGCAATCCCTTTATACTAGGCCGTGAGGATGGGTGATGATGCATAAGATATGTGGCCGATTATACTCTTGCCAAATGTTCTCCTCTACTTAACTAAAGAATGACTAAGTACCCTAATTGCTTGACAAGTTTCTAATGTTGATTGGTCAATTTCCTTTCCCTTAGCCTAAGGAAACCTTCGGCTTTGAACTTAAATTTGGAAAAATTTCCCAAACTCACGGCTATCTTGCTTAATTGACGATTAATTGACATAATTAATCACAATCCATGTTTAATTATTTAATTAAACATAGTACTTAATTACCAAAATTATTTCGAACGTAAACGGTACGTCGAAAACGGATTTCGGTAATTCCGACTGAACTTAATTAATTCCAAAAATAATAGACTATAACATTATTATATCGGAACTAAAACGTAATTTATACCGATAAAATATCGGGATATTACACTAACGTCTCTCAGCACAGACATGCGTGCTCGGCCACCACTTTGCGTGGCTACACCCGGCCAGGGCCGGCTTTGGGTTCGAGGTCTTGAGAAGAACTTCACCAAATCAAAAGTGAACATTTCCAAGGTAATTTGGAGGAACAAGGGTTTTCCAAAAAATTTCGAACGACAACAACTTGGGGCTTAATAAAAAAAATGATTTCTTCCATCATGCAGGTATAGAACAGCTTTAATAGTTTCAAAACTTTCAAATTTTTAAACAGGCGTAAACCGAGTTCCAAGTTCACCACCTTCCCTGATCAACACAATCTCCATCGAACAAACAATGATAGAGGTTGGGTAAAACTACCCAAAGAAACGAGGATCGATTCCTCAGTCGGGAAAAATCTCAAACATAGCGTTCACTACCGAATAATGAAACTCTTAGCTCATTCGACTCTTCCGACAAACAGTGTCGGCCGTCACGTCAGCTCTTGCTCAAGTAGCTAACTGTGCCGGCAGTCCTAATTGAGCTT